TGTACTTTAACTCGAGTACGGGGTTGGTCACTGACATAGCAAATAGCATCACATAATAACAAGGCTCTGACAATTATGGATTACAAGAGGAACACACAACAACACTGAAACTCTAAAGTTAACTGAGCCTGGTTGTTAGCAGCGGCCGTATCATTATAACCGGGTCCCACGCGTTCACAGGCGGTGATCTTCTCACTATGTGCCAATAAACCAGCATGTTGGCAGGACCCCTTCAGATTCAAGCACTCCCCTGTGGACCATTAAACAAGGCTCCAGGGCGATCCGTGACATGGGCACATTTACAGTGTGACAAAACTGACATAGTTATCGCAGGGAAAATGAGCTCTTGTATAATGATGCAAAGAGTCAAAACATCAAGTCGAATAATGTGACGGGGGCTCCGCAAAAGTATTTCGACACTTAAACCACATTAAAATATATATTGGATGTCATTGCACTACTAGATGATAAAACATAAAATCAATGTGACACCTGCAAACAAATTATTGATGATTAATTGAGGGGCTGTTTACATGACACCGTTTTCAACTAAAAACGTACAACTTTTTATGAGTTTTGGCCGTTCATTTACACGACAAGGCTGTTTTGGGTGCCTGAAAACGTACATTTTTGAAAACGGGTTTTTATGGTATGTTTACACGACAACGATATGCTTAAAACGGAGAAGTTTTTCCTTTGATTTTTCCGCGTACAGACGACGCCATTGTCAAAACGATCCACATTCACGCGTAAACGACTAAAAACGCTGTATTCTGCTGCCAGGCCAGTAGATGGCGATGAAACACTATTGATCGGACACGTAATGCGCATGTGAATGACGTCATCGTCTTCAGAGATTCACGATTTTGTTGTTTATATGGAGACCGTTTTCAAAAACGTGCACTTTGAAACACGCTTTCAAACGTTTGCGGTTTCAGGCATCATGTAACAAAGGCCAAAAAGCATAAAAAGTTTTATTTGAAAACGGTGTCGTGTAAACAACACGAATCTTTCGTGGATCCGCGTTCAGTGCCGCTGCTGACGTAAGACGCTGCTGACGTGTGTCTGGTGTGTGTGTGTGTGTGTGTGTGTGTGTGTGTGTGTGTATTCTGGTTCTGTTGTGGATCCGCGTTCAGTGCCGCTGCTGACGTAAGACGCTGCTGACGTGTGTCTGGTGTGTGTGTGTGTGTGTGTGTGTGTGTGTGTGTGTGTATTCTGGTTCTGTTGTGGATCCGTGTTCAGTGCCGCTGCTGACGTAAGACGCTGCTGACGTGTGTCTGGTGTGTGTGTGTGTGTGTGTGTGTGTGTGTGTGTATTCTGGTTCTGTTGTGGATCCGCGTTCAGTGCCGCTGCTGACGTGTGTCTGGTGTGTGTGTGTGTGTGTGTGTGTGTGTGTGTGTGTGTATTCCGGTTCTGTTGTGGATCCGCGTTCAGTGCCGCCGCTGACGTAAGACGCTGCTGACGTGTGTCTGGTGTGTGTGTGTGTGTGTGTATTCTGGTTCTGTTGTGGATCCGCGTTCAGTGCCGCTGCTGACGTGTGTCTGGTGTGTGTGTGTGTGTGTGTGTATTCTGGTTCTGTTGTGGATCCGCGTTCAGTGCCGCTGCTGACGTGTGTCTGGTGTCTTCACAAACATGTCTAAGGATTTCCACACAGAGGAAGACTCGCATTTTTTTGCCCAGCCATATTTATTTGAACCCGAAATACACGGGCGCACCAGACACACGTCAGCAGCGTCTTACGTCAGCGGCGGCACTGAACGCGGATCCACAACAGAACCAGAATACACACACACACACACACACACCAGACACACGTCAGCAGCGTCTTACGTCAGCGGCGGCACTGAACGCGGATCCACAACAGAACCAGAATACACACACACACACACCAGACACACGTCAGCAGCGTCTTACGTCAGCAGCGGCACTGAACGTGGATCCACAACAGAACCAGAATACACACACACACACACACACACCAGACACACGTCAGCAGCGTCTTACGTCAGCGGCGGCACTGAACGCGGATCCACAACAGAACCAGAATACACACACACACACACACACACCAGACACACGTCAGCAGCGGCACTGAACGCGGATCCACAACAGAACCGGAAGACAATACAATGCTGAATAAAGTCCTAGTTTTTGTTATTTTGGAGCAAAATGTATTTTCGATGCTTCAACACACTCTAACTAACCCACTGATGTCACATGGACTACTTTGATGATGACTTTATTTCCTTTCTGGACAAGGACAGTATACCGTACATACATTTACAATGGAGGGACAGAAAGCTCTCGGACTAAATCTAAAATATCTTAAACTGTGTTCTGAAGATGAACGGAGGTCTTACGGGCTTGGAACGACATGAGGGAGAGTCATTAATGACATAATTTTCATTTTTGGGTGAACTAACCCTTTAATGCTTCAGAATACCAAGACTTTGGACAAGGCTATGCTTCTAACTTTGTGGGAACAGTTTGGGGCCATTTTCTATTCCAGCATGAGTGTCCAAATGTCTGGTATGGGTTAAAAATGTCAAGCATCCTAGTAGCCTATGTAGGCAGTAAACAGCAAGGCAGCTCACCTTTTAGGAACAGGGCCGAGATTACAAGTGGACAGGAACATGGTGATTTACATGGAGAAAGAGGAAGAGAAAGGAGGAGGACGAACAGACACAAACAGACTGCGGTGGTTATAAATAGACGGAGGATGTGAGAGCGCGTGTATAAGCAGCTCTTCTGTCCTACTGCAGTGATGCTAATGGAAGTTAATACTGAGACACAGGAGGACAAACGACAGGACAGAACCGCCACGGGAGGGGAAATTACTCGCTCTCGTGAAATATTCTGATCTTCAGCATTTTAAGGGAATTGTCAGTTCTTTTCGAAGATCAATCATGCTGGAATGATCATATTTATGAGATTGCATGTGAACACCACCACAATGCTGTTTCTAACTTTCAGTCCAGCCTTTAAATCAGGTGGCATATCCATTACATAATAATTAGTTGACTGTAAAGTTTACTTTGTACACATTTTGTGTATTTTGAATGAGAAAAATAGTAATTAAACTTTCCAGAAAACTAGTCCGTTAATGAGGCAAGAGGCTTGCATTGCTAAACTACATTTCCCATCATTCATAGCCCACAATACAAGCAATAATGCCTTTATGTTCAGAAGTAAGAAGTATCCAATATCTCACACCTGACTGTGGACTTTAAGGATTAATGTGCATCCTTATTTAGGTGAAGCTGTCTTTTTCAGAAAGTAAAAAAGATATATGAATGAATTTGTCTGGTGAGCTGGTTGATGTTGTAACTACATCATTTTGTGGTTAAAAAGGGGCTAACAAGTGATAAACTGTTGGCCCTCACAGGAATATGCAGCACAAACAATCTTTCAGAAATGTGATATTACAGCAGAACCTGAAGAGCAAACAATACACTCTGCTTTCCTTATTCTTTACACATTGGTCGCAGTTTCTAAAAATATCTCCACCCTTTCCACCCTGCTATTTCTAGATCACCGGTCACAACTGGGTCTGGAAACTGACAATCATTCCAGCACTTTCACAATCCCACAAACCCTGCAGGAGAGGGAGAGAGCACGGACACACTGGTGAAGGTGGAGAAGCGCTGGTTTGATGACTCAGCAGACGGGGGTGTCTTGTTATCCAATTTTAATTTATAGGTTCAAGAACATTATTTAGTTAGTAAAGAAAACCCCCAATTAATAAACACTATTTTCAAAAATGATGGATGCTTAAAAAAAAGCTTTTTTTTTTTTTTTGCTGACTTGGTTTGCTTTGTTGAAATACTGGTGAAGAACGTCAAATGCAAATATAATGTAAATCGGAAAAAAAATATAGGCTACCTAAAATATGACTGCCGAGCACTGTTTGTTTTAGAGCTGCTGTTGTTACGGTAACGCGAACAGAAAGTTGCAGTTTTAGGTTTGGGATGAACCCTTCACACACTGCAGTAGATGAGGACAGGCTTCTACATTTGTGTTGTTATGATGTTATTTTAATGAGCGGATGCTACAGTCTGTTACAGACATTCACAGAGCAACTGTTTGCAGTATTTTGCTTAATTCTCTATGTGAAACCTGGTTATTAATTATTTAGAGAGGCCATTTATTTGGATAAATTAAATTATTTTGTTTCAAGACAGCAATTTTCCCTTCTGGCCAACCAGTGAGTGAGGGATAATGCAAAAATGATCAAACATTTATTGTGAGTGTGGCCTGAGATAACAAAATGCTTGTGGTAATGCACAGTAATGCTCAGCAGATAACTCTATAATGCTTTGCACAATGAGCATAAATCTGCTTTATATGACTGCCTGCCTGGCCAATAAGCAACAATTTCAAAGTAATTTTAAGACATTAATGTCCATTTTGCTTTTTTTGCTTTTCTCTGTAAAGTCCCTAGAAATGTTTTAGGCATCAATTGCGCGTTTGGTAATGTGTGGGAACTTCCACAAATATAATCACAGAGCATCAAAAGGTTACAAAAGTGCCCATAAAGAGCACGCTTATTGTTTTAGTCTCCTATATAAAGCTCTCCAAGAGGACTATATGGATTCGCTCCACTCAAAACCTCTCTAATGAAATGTAATCGAATGTCTTAATATGCTGTGCTGACATGTGCCGTTAGGTGTTCAAATCGGGTGTTTTATGCATTTACCACAATCAGCGCTTTTACGCATACCATTGCGCAACCGTGTGTTTGTGCGCGCGCACGCCAGGACACCTGCTTCGCTGTTTGACAGTGTTGCGCTCTTCGAAACTTCTCCCGCCAGAATCGATTTAGAACGTTAGTAACAATTAGCCTATTCTTCTAACGAATTACGTTACATATGAAATTAAATAGCGATTATAAAACTATTTTAGAAGCGCTCCACTGTAGCACTGTAAAATAATTTCGGGGGTGATTGTGGGCGGAGCATTTACTCTGTCTAAACTGAGGGAAATCACATGGGGCCGGACCAGAAGCATGGTAAACAGAGTGAGGAGGAGGGTAAAGTTAAACTGGTGGCGTTCACGCACCATGGAGAGCGCCTTTGCGCACTGATCTGTTTGGGAGAAATCACTTAAGTTGATGTCATCTGCAGACTTTTCTGGATTTAATGTGTGTTTATCTGTGAAGACATGGAGTGAAGCGTTTTGCGCACCGGCCAGGAAGGATGCCCGAGCGAAGATGTGCAGCAGCCGGAAGATCATCTGGAGTTTGTTGGTTCTGTCGACGCTGGAGATAGGGCTCGGGGTGTCCAGCATCGCCCTGGGCGCGGTGGGCATCATCCGGGCGAAAGCCGAGCACAAGACCCAGCAGGGCGACGCTTCTCCGGTATGGAGCGGAGTGTGTGTACGTCTCACTTTTTTTAGTCTTATTCAGCTTCAATAAATGAGCTGTTCTAGCAAAACTCTCAGCCACTGAATGCTTGTGCAGTATCTGATTAAAAATGATTTGTTGTCAGTCAAAAGGTAACATGTTTTGGGCATCCATAGTACCATGGTATTTTTGTAAGAAGAACCATTTATAGGCAATATCATGTGTATAGTGTACAGTGGTGTAACTGATACCAGTATTGTACCATGGTACAGTATGGTAATCTGACCTATAGAGTAGAATGGAAAAATTTCTAATGTCATAACTTAATGATTCATCAAAAAGTTGTCTTAGGTTGTTGTTTTCTTCACAGATAAATACTGTTTCGGTTTGCTCTAGAAATGTCAGATAAGACTCGTTGTCTGGTGTTTTGTGAGGTTGTGATATATGTGAGATCTTTCCATCATTAACTCCTATAACTTCATTTGTGTCCGGTTCAGTTCTTAGCCTATATACACTGACTCTACTGTCATCTGAATCCAGTAATATCATTTTGTCACAATTCCATTCATGTTATTTCGGACTTTCATTTGGTTCATTTAAGTTGATCAAATATGACCGATCCTGCTTTGTCTCTCATAGTTTCTTATCTGCGGGCTGTGTGGCATGCTGTGTGCACGGAAAAGGACAGGACTGATTGTGAGTACGCACTTTATTCTCCTGCACACATTCAACTGTACTAGATCTCTACTGTACACTAGCCTACTGTTACACACACACACAAGCCAGTTCACATTTTCTAGTCTCCCAGATCATGCTTTTCGAAGATTATTGGAGAATATTTTACATGCAAAATATTTTCATGGTAAATTCAATGTGTTGCTTACCATTTCTGAAAATAGTTTGAAAGTAAATCCTACACCATTCCTTTCCAGCATATACAAGAACACATACACTTTTTTTTATTCTTGAATGTTAAACACATTTATTGCACTGTTGGTTGAGTTTTATGATAGGTTCTTCAGATCAGTGTTTAGGTTTCTGGATTCTTTAAAGCACCAGTATATATTGTTGCTGTAGAGAATAAAAGGTTCTAAATTTAAACTTTAAATGGTTTTGGGTTCTAATTGGAACCATTGTAAGCGTGTAGAACACAAATAAACGGTAGAATTCTACGGTTTAAAGTGCCTCTTATATTCTTTTTTAAAGGTTCCTAATTTTGTTTTGAGGTCTCTTACAATAGGTTTACATGCATCCATGTAAAAAAAAAACATTATTTTCTCATAATATACATCATTATAGCATCAGCTCTTTTCTCACAGTGTCTGAAACAGCTCAATCAGGGATTCAGTCTCTCTAAGCCCCGCCTTTCTGAGAGCCTGCTCTGCTCTGATTGGTCAGATGGCCCAGTCTGCTGTGATTGGTCAACAGCTTACAGTGCATGTCAGAAACCAAACGCCCATTACTATATTTGAATTTCAGCTCTTCCTCAGCACTTTATACACAGAGATACGAACAATGGCGTCGGTTTTTCTTTTCATCGATCTCATCCTTTGGAAGTGGGTTTGCTTTGGCAACAGAAAACAGCGTCTTCTTAAACCAAACTCTTCCCGTCTCAGATACAAGTGTTTGAGGGCGGAGCAAAGTAGACGTTGTTCTCCAGCAGCCAATGAAAACTATAGATGGCCATTATGCAAATTAGCTACAAACCTACATAGGTTTGTGCAAGACGTGAGACTGGAATTACTTATGACCTTTAAAACTTTGCAGACCTTTTACATTCACAAACATGAAAGGTTACAGACCGTGTCTCACCACAAAATCTGTGTGTTCTTAATTTAGAAATGCTAACTAAATCTAGAATAGAAATAGTTTGTTGTGGACGTCAATATAAACATGCACATCAGAGACCAGCTCCAACTCACAGTGAGTGTGTGTGTGTGTGTGTGTGTGTGTGTGTGTGTGTAAATATCCCAGGATACTTCACTGAGAGACGAGATTCAGTTAGCCACCGTGGAGTGGAGTGAGCCGCCCCAGAGGAGAGTGTTAATCACTAATCAATACTGAAGTGAACCCTCAGTCTGAGAGCTTCCATGTATCTCTGATCCTTCTCTCCACGTCTCTTTTCATAGCATTACTTGTTTTCCTCTGACTTCTTGTGTACACGCTTTCAGGTTTGTCCTCAAACACGCTTCTTTCTCCGTTTTCTTTTTTCTTTTTCATTTTATCTCTCTCCTCGTCTGTGGATTGATTTTGTTTCCCTGGGCCCTGACTGTAATGTTACTGTAAGGCTGAACGCAAACCCTCGCCGTCTGCCTGTAATGATTCAGGAGCTACTCAAGAACACTTAAGCATTGTGTCTCTAAATCACATAGTCTTTTAGTCTCATCTCAGCAGGGTTTAGACACTTAAAGGGATAGTTCACTTTGAAATTAATTTTTGGTATGTTTTAGCTTACCTCAAGCGCATCCAAGATGTAGATGTCTTTGTTTCCGCAGTAGTTTCAATTTTGATATTTTTAGGTCAAAGCGTTCTTGTCTGTCAGTCATATAATGCAGGTCTATGGTCAACACCTCAAAGAGCATGCACAGAGAAGTCCAAATTAAACATGATTTAACCCTCTGGGGTTCTTCGGGTCAAAAATGTCCCGAAGCGTTTAAATAAAAAAATGTTAAAAATCGTAGCTTCATCGGAATGGTCCAAAACTTGGTGACTTTTTTGGTACTTGGTATATGAACACCCAAAAAAATTGGGGAAAGGATTTGAAAAGTCTAAGTGGTCTTAAAACAAAATAGTCACATTCAGGACCTTCGGGTCAAAAATGACCCCCATAGGAAATGAATGGGAAATTGGTAAAAATTTTAATTTTTTGTGCATACAATCTACAAAACAGCCAGGATTCAGAAAAAAAGCACACAACAGTGAAGGGGTGAATCTCTTAAAACAATGGGTGACAAAATGCTTTCCATTTGTTCTCTTTATAATGCAGTGTTCAGGTTTGACTGTATTATAAAGTAAAACTGCCACTTCAAATTACCATTTAAACCAACCAAAAAAAAAAAAATGTAAAAAAATGACAAAAATAGTCTTTGAGAATCTGTTATTATATATTCAAATCAACAACCTAAAAAAAATTAAACAATATGTGAAAAAATCACTAGAGTGTTTCTACCATAGGTTTCTACAGAGAGCTGTAAATCCACTAGTGGTAAAAATGTGCTATTGCGTGATAAAAATGCTCAGTGTGTCCACCAGAGGCTCCGATCTCATTTCAAAAATTGCTTTCATGAGGCCTAGACTTGACTCCAAAATGAAATACAGCTTTAATAAAAAAATATTTTTAAATTATATATATATATAAATTTTCTATTATATTCAATGGGAAAAAATGGGTCTTAATTATTGCATAAATATTAATTATAAATCATAAAATTATCTCAAAACACCAAAAAAGAAAAGAAAAAATATTATTGAACAAAAATATATTTCATTGATTTTACTCAAATAAAATGTATCTTAATGCCGCCCTCCGGGTCATTTTTGACCTGAAGGTCCTGAGTGTGAGTCTAAAATGAAGAACTCCAGAGGGTTGACTCGTAAATGTAAGTACACATTGATGGCCTAAGACACGAAACGAGCGGTTTGTGTGAGAAAACGAACAGTATTTATATCGTTTTTACCTCTTGTAAACACAGCCACGTCCAAGTGATCTGAGGGCGCGGGCGCTTCGGTCTTTTCCGGAAAGCGCCGGAAGTGATCTCTCGCGCGTGTACGTCACTCATTGTTTACACAGAGATTTCGGAAGTGTTACCTTTCACTGTGAAGATCTAAACATATTTAAATATAAAGGCCATCAATGTGTACTTACATTTACGAGTCATTAAATCATGTTTAATTTGGACTTCTCTGTGCATGCTCTTTGAGGTGGTGACCATAGACCTGCATTATATGACTGACAGACAAGAACGCTTTGACCTAAAAATATCAAAATTGAAACTACTGCGGAAACAAAGACACCCACATCTTGGATGCCCTTGAGGTAAGCTAAAACATACCAAAAATTAATTTCAAAGTGAACTATCCCTTTAAACAGAACATACTGTGAAAAACAAAATGTTTTGTCTGTTTCTCTTCCGTGTGTAATGTGATATAGGCTGCGCTACAGTATGAATGGAATACTAGTATAGTATGCTGATGAGTATGTTTTGCGTACTAGTTTTGAATAATAATAGAGACGGTTCGCAGAATCAATAATGCAATAATTTAGGGAAATGACAGAATGGCTGCTTTTGAAATCAGATGCTTATTCACTTCTATAATTTAAAATTGTATGCGTGATACAAATGTTTCAAATAGTAGTATGCTACATTTGCTGTCACATGACCTCAAAACATTGCATGTTTAAATCAGTGAGAGTTAGAAATATAGTACAGTGCATTTTTCAATTTAAAAATAAGCCATTGACTTATGAGCAAAGATAGCAGTATGCAGGTTGCAAACTTCCAAGGTGGCATGAATGTGCTGAGCAACCTTTTAAATGAATGGAAATGCTGATAAACAGCTTTTTTTAGACATACTCAGTGCATCTATACTGCATACGTACTACAAAAACAAATAGTTCAGGTATACGCAGTTTAATCATGTTGTCTACCAACAAAACCATCATTTTCAAAGCCTTTTATTGTTAGCAATTTATGATAGGAGTATGCAATACCAATATATAAGAGATTTCTAGAACACTAAAAGGGAGTGTGTTGTCCAACGTGTTCATGTGCTGTAGTCAGAAGTTTCTTATGTAATTTGAGGTCAAATCTGTCCTGAAGTGTTGAGCTGGCAGATAATGTCACTGTCTGAACGTGGTCTGAGCGATTACAAAAACACCGAGCAGCACAATCCATTCTCCCTGTACACAAGGGTTTCGTCTTCACCCTCCGTTTACAGTATTTCTGCTGTGCTGTACTCTTCAGGTTAATGTACTGTCTTTGACCTTTATGAGCTTTGAAATCCCTCTAAACAACACCTTAGCGACTGCATAGCAACACCCCGGAAACCTAGCATTATGGTTGTTACTTTTGCACGGGCAAACACCACAAAAGTACTTAAACAAAAGTATACTTAAATTAAGTACTACAAAAGTAATTAAATGGAATAGATATTTTAATTTGTGTCATTTATAATGATGTATAATTTTTTTTATAATGTATGTATGCAATATGCATTATTATTTTAATGATGTATGCATGTAATATGCAATATTATTTTAATAATGAATTCATGCAATTTATATTATTATTTAAATATTGTATGGATGCAAAATGTGTTATTGTTTATTTTACTATTGAATGCATGCAATATACATTGCTATTTTAATTATGTGTGCATGCAATATGTGATATTATTATATTGTGAGTTTGCAATATTCATTATTATTTTAATATTGTGAGTATGCTATATGTGTTATTATTTTACTAAGCATGCAATATTCATAATGATGTATGCATGCAATATCTGTATTTATTTTCATATTGTGAGCATGCAATATGCGTTATTATTTGAATGATGTATGCATAAAAAATGCCATTTATTTTAATATTTTATGCCTGAAATATGCGTTTTTATTTTAATATTTTATGCATGCAATATGCATTATTATTCTACTATTGTGAGCATGCAATGTGCCTATTATTTTAATATTGTGAGCATGAAATGTGATATGTGTTATTATTTTAATTTATATGAATGCAATATGTGTTATTATTTTACTATTGAATGCATGCAATATGCGTTGTTATTTTAATTATGTGTGCATGCAATATGTGTTATTCTTACATTGTGAGCATGCAATATGCATTATTATTTAAATATTGTGAGCATGCGTTTTAATGATGTATGCATGAAATATGTTTTTATTTTAATATTGTATGCATGCATGCAATATGCGTTACTCTAATAGTGTGAATTATTATTTTAATATTGTGAGCATGAAATATGTTATTATTTGAATAATGTATAGATGCAATATGTGTTATTTGAATGATGCATGAATGCAATAGACACAAACAGCTAACATTATGCATGTTTCTGTTTCTCTCTCAGATGATCCTATTTTCCTCCTGCTGCATTTGCGGGTTAATTGGTGGAATCCTGAACTTCCAGTTTGTCCGCGCACTGGTCAAGCGTCCGGACACCATGCGCTCTCTTCATCTGGCCGTCATGTCTCTAGCGTGTCTGGGCATCAGCAGCTGCACGCTGTCCACGTGGTTGACCTGCAGACTGGCCAGCAGCGAACAGCAGCGCATGTTTCTGGAGAGAGAACATTCACTGCATCACTCGCACGAAATGGCAGAGAAGGTACGACAGGAGCTGGTATGTTTGTGCAGTCTGTGTGTACCGGCTCACAGGCAACATTCAATTCAAATTGCTTTCTAAATACAAGTTCCTGTTCTTATTGCGAATGATTCCAAAGAAATTAAAAATGTCAGTGAAATTTAATCATTTGTTCCACCTATGAAACTATTTTTCTTTTCAGTTGATGTCTTGTAGGCCACATGGACTACTTTTTTATCGTGGTTTTGAGTTCCTATATGACCTTTTATAGACTAAAAGGGCCTTGATGTGTCAAGATGCTTCAGATCAGGTGAAAAGGGTACAAATTGAATTAATAGACATCACCATATGTACCCAGGTTGATTAATCAGAGTACATTACAAGGTTTCTGAAATGTTATGTTTAAAGAAGCAGACAACATATATTTAATCTAATTAAATATGCACTAATTTGCAGAAAATTTCCGGAACAGAAATCTCAACATTGGATAAAATCCGGTACAAAAAGGTCTGTAAAAAACGTACAAAATTACAAAGTACGAAGTCATTCCAGCGGGAGTACTTCTCTATATCAGTGTCAGTGTTTCTGAACTCCCTGAAACGCCTCCATTGTGGTCTTGAGTTTTCTTCCAGGAATGAACACGTCACAATATTCCTCATTTAAATAATTCCCGTCCCAGGCATAAGCAAAATAGCGGGTGCCTGGTTAGTAGTGTGTTGAAACTGGCGGTTATGGAAGGGGCGTTGACCAATGGTTGACCAATCACAACACACTGCTCCAGCCGACCAATCAGAGCACACTGTGCTTTTCAGAAGGAGGGGCTTCATAGAGACAGGAACTAAACAGAGCGATACTGACAGACTGGGAAGAGAGGAGCTGCAACAATGGAGAATATGGGGAAAATAATGTGTTTTTGAAGATTCAAGCATGAAAATATATTCTCGTACAGCCCAAAAACAAAAACAAGACTGCAAAAGGACATAAAATGGCCGCTACAGACAACGTAAAAATAAATAAACAAACAAACTTAAATGTGTATTTTGGGAGTAAGAAAGAAGACATATTATGGAAGCAAAATCTCAAAATTGACCAGTGCTTGAAAAAAACAGCGGTTTGCCTTAAAGCGCCAGTACATAATTTATCATTTATTTATTTTATAGTAGTACTTTATGGAACTTAAAAAGGTTCTTCTATGACAATAGGCTTCTTATTTTTGTGTGAGTTAAAACATTTATTTTAAGTCTTAAATGTGTCAAGTTTGTACTGTCTTATGATTCTCTGTGTCACACTTGCATCAAATTATTATTGCTCGTATTTAGAGTTAGTTATCTGAACAAACCCTAAGCATTAAACTTCAGAGTGTTTCTTGTCCCCAGGCACACAGGACTGGTAAAAACATACAGAAGCTAAAAATGTAAGTTGTCTGTTTGAGTGCGCGTCTCGGACTGAAACCCGGCCGTGTGTTTGTCTGTTCGCAGGAGGTTTTGGATAACACCAGCAATGCCATCTCTCAAATCTCCTCCAACGGGCGGAGCGCTTCTCCATGACGGCTCGCTGCCCACACACTCTCGACTGCACAGTTCTTCACTCTGATTGGCTGAGTCAGGCTGACAGCTCTTCACTCTGATTGGCTGAGTCGATCTGACAGGAGAAGCAGAGACTGTAGACGCAGCGTCAGATGTATTGAACAGACAGACAGCCAATCAGTGTCCAGTTACCTGATGACCTCAGGAGACCTTGACAACCAGCGTACAGAAAAGATATTTGAGTACGAAACAAGCATGCAAACGATCTTCTCTCTCTTTCTGTGACTCTTTCTCTCTTCCTGTATCTAGATAAAGGGAATGTTGAATCTGAAATTGTAATCCTGATATTGTATGGTATACCGAATGCTTTTATCCTGACCGTATCAAATGCACACTGTAAAATGCCTGTAAAGATATTTATTAATTTACAGTATTTTTATATAGGGGCTTCATATGAAAATGAAATAAAGATGTCAAATGTAATTTGTGGTACAATGACTGGTGATTAAACCATTAACACACAAAAACACTTTTACTTTACACACCACAATATCTGTTGTTTTAAAGAAATATTTAATATATACAGTAGTCAACATTTGAAGTGGATCAAAACCTTTCATCAAAGTTATTTTTTTGAACAATACCCGTTCTTGTCTTAGGACAACTTTGATTAACTTTTTTGATCCACTTCAAATGTTGACTACCTACTATATATATATATATATATATATGTGTGTGTGTGTGTGTGTGTGTGTGTATGTGTTTATATACTGCAGACTGAACCTACAGCATTTTTCATAAGTGCTGTAATATTCCTCATTAGTTTTTCATTTGAATCCAGTTTTACATTTTTCTTTTTCAATTTATAAATTAATTTTTAATAATTTAATTTATAATTTAATTCTAATTATATTTTATTTTTACTTTTAAATAGTTACTATTAGCGACAGAAAAAACCCCAGATTTTTTTTAAAGTCACAAGAGTTTATTTATTTATTTTTGTGTGTAGTTCTCCTCCTCTCCGCTGGAGGTCACACGTCACTCGCCGCTAAACAGTAAACACACGAGCGAACGCACCACGTGCTCCTCCACATGTGTTCAGCATGGCGAACTGGACTCAGGAGGACGGTGCTGCGAAACCCGTCACAAACCCCTCGGATGTGTCCACAATAGCGCAGATATCTAGCGGAGATGTCACGGCCAGACCCGGGGGGAATTCTGCGGTGGTTCCGTGTCTCATTCCGTCGTTCGCGGGCGCGGTGAAGCTGCTGAACGCGCATTACTCGTGCCTGGTGCTCGACACGCACCGCAGACACGTCGCGCTGCCGCCCGTATACCTGCGAAAGAAGAGGCTCGGCATTCAGGAGGAGCTCAACGCAGAACTGCTCAAATACTCCTGCAGGTAAAACAAAAGGCTTGAAAGAAAATGTCATAGAAAATGATGGTAATGCCGCAGTATTTTGATACATCATGGCACAGTGACAGCATTATTTATACATTGTAGCGTTAGTGCTTTCACTGCGATGGTTGAGTCAGTAAAACCATAGTATTGTCTAGAAACCTTTAAAAAATACTCTAGTACTGTTTTGTAAGTGTGTCATTGCTGCTGCTTGATGGAGGTCAATCACATTCATATGCTACTCCAATACCGAGTATTGCCACTTTGATAGATTTCATAATAATATGGTATTGTTTTTTTGTTTTGTTGTAAAATTGTCAATTAAAGGTAGGGTAGGCAATTTCTGAGCGGCTAGCAATAGCAAGTTAGCTATACATTTATTTACTTTACATTAAATGTTTTATTTATTTTAATTATTTATTTATTTATTTAGCGTAATCTTAGTAGCACTCCCTTGTCCCCGAACCTTTCGCTTAAATCATGGTAAAAACTCTTGCACCCAGCCAAAATGTCTATATGAACAACATTTATTAATATAGGATCAGACTAAGGAATTTACCAGGCATTATTTTTCTGGTTTTGCAGTTTGAATGGGGTTCCTATGGCGTATGACAACATTAAAATCGTAGGACAGCATGGAGACATTTATGATGATCAAGGATTCATTCACTTCAACATCGAGGCGTCGTTCGTGATCTTCAAACCGCAGATTGGGTCGAAGCTCGTGGTATGTTTAACAAGATCTTCATGAGCTAGAGATCGTGTTCTGTGCATGAATGCATTCTTGTATTTGCTCTGGCTGAAGATGTTTAATGGTGTGTGTTGGATGTCCCTCAGGGTGTGATTAATAAAATGGGAGTGGGTCATGTGGGCTGTCTGGTCCACGGCTGCTTTAACGCATCAGTGATGAAGCCCAATCTGCTGAGCCCGGAGCAGTGGAGGGACTCTGGCCTGAGTGTTGGACAATGCCTGGAGTTCGAGGTCTTCAAGCTGGACGCTGAAGCTGCTGGTGTTCTTCTCATCAGAGGACGGCTGGACAAATCCAGGTACGCTGATCAACACTGTTAAAGGCGGCTGCAGTGATACAATGACTTTAGTGATAGGCTCTTATTTAGAAGGCAGGACTAAGTCTGCCATATTTGCCAGTGGCGTAACACACAGGTGTGTGTGTGTGTTGTGTGTGTGTTAGGGGGGGGAATCGCTAGGCACCTCTCGATTCGATTACGATTCAGAGGGCTGCGATTTGATGCTAAAGCGATTATCGATTATCTGAATCTTTTCTTTTGTGTGGTTGTGTGACTATAAATACTTTGCTTTAAAAGTACCAAGTAATGACCCATAAAGAATTAGTGTACAATATATTTTCGTAACATTGCAAAGAACCAACAGGAAAATAAATGTGTGCCTGAACTAGCAGCATACTTGTAGTAAATTAATAATATAACAACGACCGGTACAGCCGAGTGTTTTTCCTCCTCTGGGTGGAAACATGTCATTTGGCTTCTCATATTTGTCGTGTTTCCGAAATATTTTAGTTTTATTCTACAAAGCTTACAAACTTGTGTGGCTCTTGTCCAGCTCCTTTCCCCCTTCAACTTCATAGAAGCCAAAATATTTCCACACATCAGCTTCTAACACGGAGGGTGTTTGGATTTCGCGCTCCGCCATCGCGTCTCTGTTATGTGCACGCCACAGACGGACCGTCTACACTTCCGCGCTTCAGAGTTCCGTCTTTTGCGTACCGCCAATATTACGTTATTATTTATATATATTAGGGCTGTCAGTTAAACGCGCTATTAACGGCGTTAACGCAAACCTATTTTAACGGCGTTATTTTTTTTATCGCGCGATTAACGGTCTTTTTGGCCTAGCAAACTTTGTAGTTTTTTTTCACATGCTTTTGCAACAGGAGCATGCGCGGCGCTGCGCTATGAAACCCATTCATTTCAATGGCTTGCGCTGCGCGAGGACGTTTTGAAAGCGCAAGCTGATCTAGCTAGACCGCTTGCGCTTTCAAACAAAACAACAGGATGCCGCACGCACTTGTTTGGGCTTGCGAGCCGGATGCGCGAGCGCAAATCTCTGCTCGCGCGCGGAATATAATGTGCTGAGCGCGAATCTCTCTGCTCGCGCGCGGAATATAATGTGCTGAGCACGAATCTCTCTGCTCTCTGCACTTAAAACGTGTTCAGTCAGTGCAATCGCGAATCTCTCCTCTTCCCCAGCTAACAATTTTAGGTTATAAGAACGTTTTCATAACGTTCCCATTAAGTTATAAAAACGTTATTTCTGAATGTTATAGGAACGTTCAAAACGTCCAGTTTTGAGTGGATGGCGAGCGCGAGACGCCGAAATGGATGCCAATAAGATTCTGAATGGAAAGTTTACTTTTAAAAAGTTGCCAAATGGTTCCATTGACGAGACCAAAGCGATCTGTGTGTTTTGTCGTTGTGAACTGAGCTATCATCATCGCAGCACGTCCAGTCTGAAACACCACTTGATGATGGCCAGCACACACACACACACACACACACACACACACAGCTGATGCGAATTCTCCGCCCCCTCGTCAATATCAGGACCTCGTCAGTATTTCTTTCACCCTTTTATTGATGGACAGTGTTACATTGTGTGAGAGATTATTTGCTCCAAGTGAGAATGTTAGTGTGAAATTGAACACAGTATATGCCAATGTTGTTTTCAATAAAAAACATTTGCACAAAGCAAGCCGATCCACTTTTCCATGTTGATAAGAGCATTAAAATGAGAAAAAATAATGGGACAAAAAGAAATCAAGAGACATTTAGAATAGATAAAAATGTGCGATTAAATGCAATTAATCTCGAATTTAACTATGACATTAATGCGATTAATCGCGATTAAATATTTTAATCGTTTGACAGCACTAATATATATATATGTTTTTTTTTTTTTTTTGATTTTTTATATTTGTGAATCGATTCAGAATCGTCCACGTCCGCATCGCGATGCATCTAAGAATCGGCTTTTTCCCCCACCCCTAGTGTGTGTGTGTGTGTGTGTTGCTAATGGCGATAATAAATACATAGATTCGACTTTTTAAAGCGTGTATTCTAATGGTCTAGTGGCAGAACTTTTGCCTAGCGTGTCAGAGGTCCCGGGTCCTAATCCGCACTCGTATAGGGTTTTTTCTTTTCATCAAACCCGATTATGTTTATCAGTTATTGCATATCAGGCAGGGACACGTTTGTGTATATTTTGTTTTGTAATTTCACCGGAACGAATAGAGTCTCCACAATGGATTGAAGCGCGCGTCCGAGTGAAACTGTGCGCGAGCCACAAGAGAACACAGTATCCGCGCCACTGATCGCAACGAGCGCGTTGATCACTTGATAAAAAAACACATTTCAGCGCTAGATCGCCTCTTATTTAACAAATGAACACGCTCTGCTAGTTAACTGGAGATGTTTTATTTCTGTTCCCTTATATTTTTATTTATGTTCCCTTTAAGCTGCGCGCGGCCGCGCACTTCTGATGCCTCGGCCGCGCACTTCTGAAGCGGCGGCGCGCAGAAAAGAATAAAATGCCACGCAGAGGACTGACGCGAAATGTGTGGGGAAATCCATTTGATTGTAGTTTAAGTGAGAAATAATTTTAGTGCTCTGGTCAACCGCTATAGAGTGAAAACTGGTGAATGCAGTTTACAGGTTTCATAGAAAGAGAACGATGTGAGCGCGTGTGATTGGCAGTGAGTCGTGTGTGCGGACCAAATAGCTCAATACGAGAGGCAACGAGAAACGCAAAGACATGTGAAATAAAATCACATCATCATATTTTAAAGAAGAGTGGTTTGATTAAAGTGGTGGAAATAACGGTTGATGAACACAGAACGGTAACACACCCACCCGCGTGCAAACTCAAAATACATCATTAGTTTAAATAGATGTTTTTGTGTGGGGGGAGTTTCAGGGATGGTTAGATTATAAAAAAGTTCACATATTCACTTTTCTTGAAAATATTTAGCTATTAGATCTATTTAAATGCTTCAGTTTGTTTTCATATTATAATAATATAATATGTAAACAAATTGAAGCATTTAAACTGATATATTATATCACTTCAAATACTTCAATTCGTTTTTTTATATTATATTAGGCCTATATTTTATTATATTATAATCCTAAATAAAGAATCTCACAAGGGTATTGTTTAGGGCTCCTTGCCATTAAAAGGTTTGAAACCCCCTGCTAAAGAAAATATTGGAAATTCATAAGCAATAAACAATCATTTAACTTTGATGGTTTAATGCTGCCTGTACAATTAATTGACTGTACAAAAACACTTTATGGTTTTCCCAAACCATCTCAGTGTAACAGCTTAATTTTCTTCCATACTATATTCTATTATTGTAAAGAATTGAACTGTCCTGCAGAAGATTTTGTAAATTATTTTTCATAGGATTTCTTGCTAAAGACTGTAGGCTACAGTTAACAGCACTGTAAAAAAAAAAAAAAAAAAAAAATCAGGTAACCTAAAATGTGCTTCATTTAGTGACTTCTTCATTTGTTAAGAAGCTTGTTTTTCGAAAATATGATTTAATACCAATAAGTTACATCAAGGGTCAAATAACATAGAAATGGCACATTCAAGTTAAAAGTTACAACTGAATGTTGAAACCATTGTGTTTCTACATGCTGTACAGGTCAGGTATAAAGAATATTTTTGCTCAGGTGGCGAAAAATGTCCGCCCAATAGAAAAAAGTTTTGCTCACAAGAAAAAAAATTAGAGGGAACATTGAATATGAGTGCACCGTCTTTTTATATCTAAAGTCTTTGCTAGTTGTAAAGAAGAGAATGATGAGAAATTGGTATTGTCAACACAGCAGTTTAACCTTTGTAGTTTAGACACTGATACAAAGGAAAACTGAAAAAAAAAAAAAATAATTCAGTGTATCACTACATTAAATGTCAGTCAGATGATATTAACCTTTTCAAATGTCCAGTTCTTTCTTGAAATATGTGACATTTTGACCAGACTTTATGCTAATAGATGAATTCTGCTTGTTTCATTTACTAACAACAATTTGTTGTTGACTTTTAGAGTGCAAGAGCTCATGACCCAAACCGAACAAAAGGAATCAACTGTAGAATCCTCTACAGAACCAGAACCCACGGAAGACACGACCGTCAGTCCAAAGCCCAAGAAGAAGAAGAAGAAAGACAAGCATGAGAAGGAGTCTGTGAACGACAGCAGCCTGCAGCAAACGTCAGAAAACAACCGAACCACTGTGGACACAATGGAGGTGGACTCCAATGCAAACGGACATCACAAAGAGAAAAAGAAGAAGAAAAAAGACAAACGACAGGAGTCGGATGAGATCTCGCCCGCTGAGCTCCCGGCGAGCGACTCCAGCGGGTATTTGAGCGATAAAACCAGCAGAAAGAGAGCGGCGGAGAGAGAAGACGCCACTGAAATAATGCCTGCTGCTAAAATGAAGAAGAACAACAAGTGATATCTGTCACAGGGCATTTAATGAACTCAAAAACTTTGTGAGATTTATATTTACAGAATATAATAAAAGATTTTTCCTCTGGAGTATTTGCAGTTTTATATTTCCACCTAAAGAGGGCAGCATCACTCTTGGAGAAAGAAAGGTTCAATTGAAAGAAAGGATCAATTGGGTTCTGTAGAGAACTTTAGGGTTTTTGACTCAATTTTAAAGAACCCTTTATAGGCCATGAGACGGGACCCCAAATTTGGGCTACAGGTACCATTTTGAGGGATTAAATTTATTTTTGATTTTCATGAAGGTACACATCTCTAGTGTTGGAAAATGTGTGATAGCATCCGATCCATGGTAGCTTTCATTAGAAATCAAATCAACACTTATATCATCCTACCTCAAAGTAAGGTGTTCAGTGACTACAAGAGAGAAAAATGTATCCTTTTATAATTTTAAAATTTTATTTTTAATTTTTTTATTATAAAAATTCAATTTTTATAAAATTAAAAATGTATTTAAAGATAAATTCATTTATCCTTTTTCTTGACATATGTTTGAAAATCGTCCTCCGTAACCAAAAACTACCTTGAATCTAATGCTATCACACATTTTTCAAATACAGGGTCATATACCTACACAAAAATCACCATGCGGTTTAATCCCTCAAAATGGTACCAATCAACCCTCTGTCTCACGGCCTATAATGCCAAAAAAGGTTTTATTAGGAGAAATGTCTTAAATTATTGCATAATACTTTCATGTTAAATGGGCTATTTCATTTTTTTCTAGTGATAAAGTATGTGTACGAGCTGCTTAATTCATAACATTTAATTAATATTAAAAATGAATTAACTAAATCCATAAAATGCTTCCATTATGGGAACTCCTATATAAAACCTTTTCTTCTAAAACTGATCTGATTCAAAACTCAGGAACTTATCAAATTTGGTGTCAGAAATAAGACCACCTTTCTGACTTCCGTTTTATTTTTGTTTTAATAAAAGTTTTTTTTTTGTGTGTGTGTCAATGACATGCAAATTTTCTGAATTAAACATGAATTTCACACATGTATTGACATGAATACACCTCTTCCACATGGCTTAAACATTAGAATTCAAATTAATTTTTATATATTTTGAGGATCCTAAAGTCAAAACTTTCTAAAATTGTATAGCACCTGTGATCATAACATACCGGTAATTGAAAGCTTGAAAAGTGGTTTGGCTTCTATGATTCTTAAATTTAGTTTAGAAGTTGCTTCGTTCTGTGACATTTATAAATGATTTGGATTTGATATTAAGCCTTGAGCAACTGGAAAATAGAGTGCCATAAAATACTCTAAATTATTTGCAATAATCAGCTAATAACCCCCTTTGATTAAAAATATATATTTTTTTTTTAAAGTATTTGATAATTGTGTTTTTTCCTTCTTTCAATGTACAGTATTCTGTTTGAAATTATTCTGGGTGTGTTTAATAGTTATATTACCTGTTTAATAAAGTAAAAGAAAAAGAAGAAAAAAAACATGCAGGAAGAAATTTTGCTGTCATGTGACGAATCATGAAACAAAACAAAAACAAAAAAATAATCAGTCAATACATGATCGACCCTTCTTCCAAAACGTGTTTATGTCTTACCCTGATTCACTTTGGTCCATCTATTATAAGTGTTTCTATTTTAGATCTGTCAGGACGGTTTTCGCGGGAAATTGCGTACAGTCACCACTGATCTATAAAATGTCATTCTATATAGATCAGTGACAGTCACTCCTTTCTCGTCATATCCGTCAATAGAAAAACGTCTGTGTAGGAGTGGCAGAGGTTAGTTTCACAACAAGCGAGAAAGGTTGATATGGAGCAGCTAAATCTCCAAACTTCGGGGAATCGCCCGTTTTAAACAAACACCGAACAGAGGAGAGTCTGCTGGCAAAAGAGAACCAGACAGAGCTCGTTATAAAACAAGGATCGACATTGACTTGGCTTTTGGAGATGGTGAGAACTGACGGGATTTGAAATGTTGTAAAAGCGATGCAAAGATGGCGTTTTTTTTGCTCAACAGGTGATTAAGGTGTTTTATTGAACAGATAAATTCTCATTTGTAGCTCTTTAACAGAGTTCATTGCAAAGCATGATTGTGATTGTGAAGGCACATATTCATCCGCACAGTCACGCAGAGCCAAAGCACAACCAAAACAATGTCCTTCCGCAAAATGAATGAGGTTTTGTTTTTTAAACACTAGAGGGCCATAGTTTACAATTAAAAATATCACATACTTTCATATTTTACGAAATGGAAACACTAATTTAGGTTGTCAAATATCAAAACAACTTCATATTTGTCAAAATATAACTGTACAAAGTTTTGCTTTTGAAACTGTATTGAAAATAATGATCAAGATGTGTAAACTGGCTTATTCATGATGCAAAGAAAATAGATGACTGTTTTTCCTGATTACACCACTTGATATTTCCATGACTGAATCAAAACATTTCCTGAAAATGATGCAAAGGTTGTTTTTTCCAAACCATGGCCATTTTTTAGATGTTTTGATGATCTCTCAGACATGCTTATTTGTCACTGACCCTTTGACCTATTTTTTCTCAGGTATTGCTGAATAGTTGATGAATGTCTGGTTCAGACGCCTGATTCCCGCTTGATTCGTGTAATGTTTTGGACTGCTCGATCCTGCAATCCCAATCCGTGAAGGTGTTTGTGGGAAACTTCTCCTCCTCTGTGAGTAAGTGTGTGTCATGGGAAAAACGCATGAGCATCGGTACAGTAAATCAGAGACCTTTGCTGAAGGTTTCTGAGATCTTCAGCCAGAGCGGCCCTTCTTTTATCACGCCAGAGTCCGGCGGCACGTCTGGGTGTGAGGGAAAGATCTGAACCTGGAAACGTTTCAGTTTCAAGTCAGTTGGGATTATGTCCAGACTGATACATTTAGCTTTTCTTTTGCCCCTTTTGTTTGACTAGACAAAGTGAGTCTATTTCACGGCTTCAGGGGAGTTAGGATCCCTCATCCTGAAGGATCCAGGGAGCTCTGTGGGAGGTGTCGGCTCAGATCAGGGCCAGACTGGCTCATAGTTCGAATTGTTCTCACTTAGTTTTTCCATGGCTGGGAGTGCTGTGATTCGGTGTGTGGGGGTGAGAACGTGACATTTTGTCGGTTTTATTAGGCCTTCACTTCTGATAAGTGGCCCTCGCGCTCATGCGGTGAATTATATCTTTTTGAGGTTATATGGGGTGTGAGACAAACCAAAGCTCATTCGGAGTCTTCTATTCAGTGTTTCTGAAAGCAAGAAAAGAACATGCTTCACTCTTTACTCTTGCAAATTATACCGTGTTTGTCCTACCAATGGAAAACAGAGGGTGTCATTATTTGTTCAAATTGAAAAAGTGTCATTATTCAGCTTAAAGTCCCCCTGTAGTCAATTATTTTATCCCTTAAAACTCATCTCTCATCACCCAAATGATATATTTAAGCGTTTTTTCTTTGGAAAAAAAATCTTCATGCCTTAAAATAGCTTAAATGTAACTCGACACCCTTGCCTCATTTAGTATACGCGGTTCTATGAATATGCAAATGAGCCCCGCCTCCACTCACTCGCTCAGCTCAGAGATCCACTCGTTGACGATCACTCGTTGATCTGATTGGTTACAAGGTAGTTTGTGACGTCAGAAACAGAGACTGTCTTTGGTTCGGAAAATACTATGGTGTTGTGCAATGGTAATGCAATGGTGTTGACATGAATTTACACATGGTTTGTCTTAAGGCATATTTAAAACACCACATAGACATATAAACGTAAATGTAAAAATTAAAATATGTTTTAATTCAGTTCAATAACTGTCGGTGTTGCAAAGTTAATCAATTATGATATGAGTTCAATTCAGTGATAAAGCAGCTCTATAGAAAACTATAGTCATTATTCAGCTCAATTAAGTCTGATGGTGCCAATGCAGTTAAACTGATGACATTACTGAATATTAATCGTTTCATGTGCACTTCATGTTGTGCTACTGTATTTGTGTGACGCATACGTTGTTTCCTATGGTGTTCCAGGCAAGTTGAACCCTAATAAGTGACTAACTATAGAAATAAGGCTCTATGTAGACAGGAGACAGCAAGGCAGCTCACTAGGTTTTGGAACCAAACCACACACTCCTTAAAATAAAGGTTCTTTATTTGCATTGATGGTTCCATAAAGAACCTTTAACATAAATGGAACATTCCATTCCACAAAAGGTTCTTTACAGTTGAAAAATGTTCTTCACTCTAATAGTTCTTTTAAGAGTTCTTTGGGGAACCAAAATAGTTCTTCTATGGCGTAACTGTGGAAAACCCCCTTTATTTTTTAAGACTGTATTTTTAAGCTGTGTTTATTTTTACAGCGATTGCATTTGCACCATAAATAAACCCACAGACTCTTTCTGTAGTGCAGCCAAAACGGGCATGATATTCTTCTTTACTTTCTATCGTCTCCAGTTTTTAATTTCCTGGCAGATATCCTCGTTTCCCGCGTCTTCGCTTTCTTAATTAATTGATGCAACAAGGCCGAGCTGTCATAAATCTGTGCGCCCTCGTCACTGATTATGTCCCAGAATAACCCGTCCCGTTCCCGTCTGCCAGATCAGACTCCGTGTTCAGGCTCTCCAGGTCATTCTGTACCTGTCGGGAAGGCTTGACTCATCGCAGGGCGCTCAGACTAAACTAACCCACTGAGTACTCCCAAACGCCTGAGGTTTCAGCATTTAACTAGCCAAATTCCCCATGGATGACACTCATCCCTCTTGTGTCCTCATGGAGACGGCACTGTTTTGGATGGGCTCGTGTTTAATGCCACTTGAGTGTGGTTTTTAATTCAGAGACATGCTAACAAAAACAATCAGTGAATGGCTAGAGTTCTTGGTTTACTCGAGCAGCCTCACGGATGCCGTACGTTCGTCTGATGTTGGTTTATTGAGGCCGTCCTCAGAGAGAGAACAGGAAGTCAGTTACGTTAGAATCCGGTTGATTGTTGATTTGTGGCGCGAGCGGCTGATTGGTTGTTTGTTTCGACTGAAACACATTCATTAGAATCCCTCCCGCACC